CTCTTAAGTGCTAATTACACTTTGCCACAAGCACCAACTATTCAAAAATAGACAAGCGTTGGTATATTGCTTATTGCTCCTATTGTGAATGAGTAGACTTTCTAGTTAATACGTATTGAGAAAAGTAGAGACTTTAGACAATTTTTCTCAGAAAATCAGAAAGTCCTAGGCCATGCTTCCTTAGCATCTACTTTAAGCTAGACTACTCCCGCTTTTATTTTTGGAAAGTAGTAAAAATGTGAAAAAGGAAAATGCAAATGTTTATGACAGCACTTTTTAATGTCTTCATTATGATGCTTAGTCTTACTTTTTAATATTGCTTGGTAAGTTCATAAGACGATTCTACAGTAATAGGCTTGGTTACTGTTTAGTTCTTATTAAATAAGTTTTTAAAAATAACCTCTTAAAGTTCTAGTCTGAAGAACATTTTACCATTTTAAAATGCTTAAACGCCGGTCAGTGAATTCTGTGCCTAATGACTCAATTTGTACAAGTTGTAGAGAAAAGTGTAGGAAATTTCTGGAAAGTAAAGCTGAAAAAAAATTGACGTTATAGAGCCCAATAGATTTGTTCTCAATTGCATTATCATCTTTAAAAATGGGTCTTAAAAGGAAAACTATAATAGGGATGATAATAGGTTTAAAAAAAACCTTCATACAAATACATTTACAAAAAGAGTCCAAAATTTCATGTGTACAGTAGCTTCTCCCCTATAACATCTCCCTAAATTTGTATAAATTTTGCTTTGTGAAAATTGCTCTATCAGGTGCATTCTACAAATTTGGAATTACAGTGTATGACAGTATACGTTAAAAAATGATTAACATGAACAAGGGAAGAGGCAGACAAAGCAGAAAGCAGCACATTTGGCTTGGTGAGATGATGAACTGAAATGCAGATGAGGGTTACCAATCTTTAATCACTTCCTCCTAAAAAGACAGTAAAACAATTTCTATATTTTGTATCGGAAAGGTTTGTAGCCTACTGTGAGACTTGGTCATCTAAGATTTAGAAGAGATGATGACAGTCTGGACCACAGTTTTAGAGAAAATGATATGACGGCCCTCCCATTCCAGATAACCAAGAATACTGTGAGGGTATAATTGAGGTGTAGAGGGTGTCCATTCACGCAAAATGGCAGGTGATAGGAAATTATGATGAAGTTCTTTAATTCCTCTTTCC